ATGTGTGTGTTGTGACAGAGAAAGAGAGCCAAGAGGAAAGGACAAACACTCCTTGGAGATGAAAGAAGCAATTAAGAAAAGAGACTTGGTTCCTTTTCCAACACCTACATAAAGCACTGGCCATAAGTGCTTTTTAAAACATTTTATTAAGAGGAATTGAGTATATAAAAAGACAGCTTTCCTGCAGAGGTATAAAAACCTACCTTTTGATGTAGGCTGAAAAGTTAGAATGTCTTAACTGTAGCTATTTAGTGACATAAAGGAGCAAAAGGCTGCTAGTGTGTTGGTCACTAATGCGCCAAGTTCAGGTACCTTAAAATGTTTAGTCTCCCATGGAGTTGGCCTCCTATTTCCAGAGCCCTTTAATCACTTGGATTTCAACACTAATAAAAATGTCTGTACCAACTTCTACTGTTGGAGAGTTAGGTGTTGGATTCCATCCACTCTGAGTAAGAGCCCTGGTTTAGGGGAGGATACTTGGCTGCCATTTCATAAACAGACTTTTGCTGAGAATTTCTGATGTGCTGTGTCCCTAGACCCAGAATCCTTGGCAATGCTAGGAAGAAAACAGCAATTCTTTTGTTAAATTTATGAGTAAGCCTGTCTCATTAAGGGCAGAAGGACACATAAGCAGGACACATTTTTCTGTCCTTCATACTCATACTGACATAAAAATCTTCTTAAGCAAAGCACCAACCTCTTCTTCTCATATTATGTGCTCACACTCCTTCTATGACATCTATTTATTTTGGTATTTCCATAGCAACTACAGTCAGAAAATTGCCCCAAATTTAGAGGGTTTCTATATTATATCGTATTGTGCTAAGGGAGAAAGGCAATGATAAAAATGTTATTAATTAGATTAAGCTCTTCATATTAGTAAATAATTTCATGACATACAAAACCTCACACTTGTTCATTCTTTATCTTTGAAGACAGGGAAGAAATTAATCTTACTTTTTAATAAATTAGAACACCAGTACTCAGCAGCTAAATGACGTACCAAGGTGATACCAGGAGATTCAGGATTAGTAAAAATATCACTTTACTTTCCAAGGATGTTTTAGTGACCTTATTTTTAATCTGTTCATTTATTCAACTCTATAAGAATAATCAAAACTAAGCTTTCAAAAGATATGTCAGCAAAGTAGAAAACCATTTTGTTGATTTTGCTAATAATTTTACAAACTTAAAATAACTATTACATAATGCACTTCTTAAATTGGTCCAAAATAAATACAAATAAACTTCTCCCATAGGGGATAGGTTACAGTTTAACATATGGTTTCATTATTGCTGATGTTTCTATAAATGAGAAAAATCTTTCTAAAGTAATCTAACAAAGTAAAGCAAAAGTTCTCCAAATTACCTTAAACTTGACTTGGTAACATAAATCCATGAATTTATGCTAAAGATATAATTCAAAATAAAAAAAATACTCAGCTATCTAAAGGCAGGTTATTTACAATACTAAAATATTAGCATATATCCAGTACCTTTTGAGTGGGCAAATGGTTTTAAAATGAAGTGTGCAAACTCAACTTAAAACTAAACACCTAAAACTCTTAAACATGAAGATTATTAATAATGGAAAACTATATACATATTTATATTAGGTTAAAAAATAGAAAACAAAACATATGTAAAATGATTAAAGAGAATTATAATGCTATACTGAATCAAACGTGTTCAATCACAGCTACTAACATACAAGGATTAAGAATTTAATAGACCATAGGAAAATTTTAATAATCATTGAACCAAAGCTGAAGACATTATGAGTACATTTACCCTCAAAATTATGTAAATATTTAACTTAAATAGGATCTTAAGGTTATTAACAACTAATTTAGGCAGAATTAAATTTAATTTATATTAGACTGATCTCATTCTTGGACTCAGTATCAAACATGGGTGGTCCTTACATAGAAATAATTAACTTTCTTCAATATTCAGATTACATCAATGGAAAAAAAAAATGGTACACTAACTGATGGTCCAGAGCTAGGTTTTCTCTGCTCTCTATAGAATGCCTTTTAGATATCCATTTCCAAAACTGTAACATAAAGCAATTTTGCTGGATTCACATAGAAACTGCCTTTGTTTCCAAGAAAGACACACTCAGTTCTAGAGTTATCCTTCATACATCTTCAAAACAAAATAATTTTATTTTATTCTCCCAGTTTCCCCACCCTTTATGTATTTCTAGTGTGGAGCTTATTGGACTTATGAAAGTTCAGAAGAAATTAAAGTGTGAATATATCCATCTGAGACCTTGAGGGCTGTGCTGAACTCTGGAATCAGTACTGAACACGGGTCTTTGAGTAAAGCTTAATTAAATCTTGATAAGAATTAAATTATAGAGTCACCATGGATGTATCTCATTAAAGAAAAGTCTTGACTAAAGGTTCTTATGAGGGAAAGAAGTCAAAAAGGACAGTAAGAATTTCCATTTTTATTTAAATTCCTCCGGCTCTTCCAAGTATGCGATTAAACATCTCCAGCTAGCTTTCCTCATCTCATAAGCACAGTATAGTAACAGGAAACCAAAGCAGAATGGGCTGGCATTCTAAAGAATCACAAAGATCCTACCCTTGGAATGGGGATTGCAACTTGAGCCCACACATTGTAGAAACCCATTATTTAGTCAGATTAGACTTTCTTCAGTCTTATTATACACTAGGGAAAGCAAGCAAACATTTAAAAATAGAAGAGGGGTACATCTGAAAGGTTACCATAATTTCCTAAAGCCAAGTGAATTTCACTGCACATGTGTAACGTTCTCACATTCAAAAATATTAAATAGGCCCAGAAATCTTATTAAAGTTAATCTCAGAATAACATTTACTACACTACTGTTTCTTGAACAAGGCCAAATGTACTTTACAAAGATTGCCTCATTTCCTTTTCATGGGCTTTTGGGGGAAATACTACAATCACCCCCATTATATAGATGAGGAAACTGAAGCTTAGAAAGATCAAGTAACTTTTCCAAGGAGACAAAACATTAAGTGATGGAACCAAATTCAAACTCATGTTCTTCCCACCCTATTATATTGTTTCCCAATATTGTCTATATGGTTTCTAGCTTGTAGGGGATAAAAAGTGTAACTGAAGAAGGCCGCCATGGGAGTATCACTAAAGTAGCAAGAATCGACAATGTAGTCAAAGAAGCAATGAAAAATAAAAGCAAGAACTACAAAAAGCACAGCAGTCTATGTTACTTAGTGTTAATGTAAGGACAAACAGCCTTAGGTGCCTCAAAAGACTCTGTCAACATCGCCGTCTTAGAGCTAATAGCAATAAATAATTTGAGAGTGGTGGTCCTAAGCCATTATGAATGTCTTTATAGTCTGTTTAAAATAGCAAGGGGTTATGTAATGCTTTTCTCTTTTCAATAAAGATTTCAAAGAGTGATATTTGAAATATTCTTTTTTGCTCTGTTGCCCAGGCTGGAGTGCAGTGGCATGATCATAGCTCACTGCAACCTCAAATTCCTGGGCTCAAGTGATCCTCCTGCCTGCCAAGTAGCTGAAATATAGGCACGTGTCACCAAGCCTAGCTTATTTTTTTTTTATTTTTCGTAGAGACAGGGTCTTGCTATATTGCCCAGACTGGTTGAAATATTCTTATGTCCTAAAGAGGTAAGCTTTTGTTTACTAGACTTTCCCTTATACATAAATGCTCATTCCAGAGCAAAAGGACATTAATGTGTTTGTCTTTATGTTTTGGAAAAACTAAAACCACGTGGCATTTGTAAGGAATATGGGATTAAGGGGATGAATAACTGGCTGATGATAGAGCACACAAAGTTACTTTCCTCCTCTCTACATCTCAGTATTCTCACTATGAAAGACAGAAGTTAGGCAAATAATCTTAAGATTTTTTTCCAACTCTAAAATTGTACGGCTTTATAATGATGGCACATGTATTTAAGTTGCCTTTGGGAAGAAAATGAAATAAAATTGAACCTAGGAGATGCAAAACTATATTTAAATCTACAAACTCTTAATCTTGAAGAACTTTCAGATTTGTGCCACAGAACTCAGGGATAAAATGAGTTAGAGCTGTCATGTTATGGCAAAATATCAACCAGGCCAGAAACTTCTTCAATAAACTTGAACCTTGGGAATCTGTAAAGCTATGTATGACTCTTAATATCTTGTATCCAAGGCTTCATTTATGTTGAAATCCCTGGGCACTGAAAGTCAGACTCTTCTGTGGGTTTGCAAGAAAAGGACTGCTTTTGCCACTAACGTGTTAAACAAAGATTAAAATCATGCAGAAGGATACCAAAAAAATTTACATTAGATTAAAAATAAAAGTGTGTGTTAATTTGTCAAATTGCACTATTAGAGAGCTTAATATGTAGATTAAGTAGCCTTACAAAGAGCTAAGATAATGTGATTTATATTTTAGTCACTCAGCTATGTCATTAAAATATAGTCGTTGTGTTCTTAGAATTATTAGCTCAGTCAGCATTACTATCCATTTCTCTGTAAGATGCTCTATGATAAAGGGTTTCTCTGCACCATTGAAAACCTGCAGGATAAGAGAGGTAAGCAACATTCTGGGTAGATAAAAGGTGATTCAAATGATCCAGTAGTTTGGAAGAACACTGACATGCCCAGAGATCCTGCAAAGTTTCCCTGAAAATACAGGAACTTGAAATGCAGGGTGTGATCAAATAACGAGAGGTGCGACTCAGCTACTTGGGAAGTCTGAGCTCCAGGAAAGAACACACTAGGTAGTACATACATGCTTGAAAGCCACAGGCTGATGATCTTCCCAGCTAACTGAATGTCAGTCCTAGCCCTAGTCTGGCTTCTTATGAGTGAGGATATATGGGAAAAAAATTATAATATGCTAATTTACACACACACACATTTTGAAGTCTGGGGAGAAAAAAGATTTGATGGTTGCACTCTATCTGGAGTGACTAGCATTCAGCCAAGGAAGACATCTTTGCAAAACATCTCAGGAACAAATCTGGAACTTACAATGTAGCAGGGCTCACAGTAGGCTTTCTTTTCCACAGCATAGAAGGGCTGCCCTCGGAGCTTGTTGTTGCAGATGATGCAGGTAAAACAATCCACGTGGAAGACCTGATCCATGGCAGTACAGCCTGTACCCTCCCCAACTACGTTTTCTCCACAGCGAGCACAGCGGCCTGAAAGAACAAATGGATTGACTGTTAAGAACAAACCCAGGAGGACTTCAGCTCTTCTAAGGAGGGCAATGTAGAGGAGACAGCAGAGTCATAATGTTAGCAGCAGCAACACAACCGCCACCACTGCCCTCCCTACCACTAGCAAGATCACCAGTACAGATACCACTATGCTCTGCATGACCAGCATGGTGGGGATTTTGCATGAATAAGGACATTGGCTCTCTTAGCCTGAGGTCTTATAGAAAGTAACAAACATTAGAACCCTAGATGTGAGGGACCCTTGAATCTCACATGCAAGTATAAAAAGAACGTGATTTAAGATGTGTGGAGTGGAAGGCACAATCTATAAAACAGTCCATAATCTTCTTCGAGATTCTATGCATCCAGTTATGATGTGAAGGAACTGGATGCAAACTCAAACTTCAGTAGGTTATAAGGTCTCTGTAGCCAGCCCTCAGTGACAAGCAGATCCCAACGTAATGCCTTTTGTGACTGCTTGGACTGCTGAAAAGTTCTCTCTTATATTCAGCCATGATGCTTCCTCACTTGACCCAGTAGTTCTTTTCTGTTATCTGGGGCCTCAAGAAACAAATCTCATTTCTTGGACTTGACACATTTTAAGATAATAAAATACAGTTAGCATTGCCTCCAAGTCTGTTCCTAGTTTGAACATCCCAAATCCTGCAATGGTTCCATACACTGTAGGGTTATGAGTCTTTCACCGCTCTAGTTGTCATTGTTCACACGGTGTTTTGCAAAGTTCCAGTGTTCTTAAATTGAGTAATGGAGCATTTGGCCCACTTATCGACATCTGGTAGAAATTTTTAAAAGCTTAATTTTTAAATTAAAATAATAAAATACAATTTAAGACAAATACGTCAGTGAGAGGTGTTACACTGGTCGCAATCTGTACCTCTATCTGGCTCCACCATGGGAAACTTGAGCCAGAGGTCAGGTCTACATCTAGTTTCCTTTCTTATTCATTGTTTCTACTGAATTAAAAAAATCCTAACAAATAATCTTAGGACACTAAGGATGTCAGCAAGAATCTGCAGGCTTTGACAGGTAAGTTATAGCAAGCCTATGTATCACATATGTCAGGCATATTTTCTGGAGCTTTATATATGTTGATTCATTTCATATTCACAACAACACATGTATAGGTACTGTTATTATTCCTATTTTACAAATGAGGAAATTGAGTCACAAAATGGTTAACTAATTTAAAAATGGCTAAGCGTATGGATGACCAAGCAGTGTAGCTTTAGCATCTATGCTCTTAACCACTGTGCTATATTGGCTATTTCTGGTTGTGTGCATCAGGATTAACACAGATCTGACATTCGGGAGCATTGTGGGGAGATTTCTCACTGAAGACTGCTTTCAGCACTCCATCACATTGGATCATTGACAGGCATTTCACGCTCAAAAAATGGAGGGCTAAATATTTCAACTTGAGAGAAAAAATACAAATACATTTCTAATTCTCTCTGGTTACATGTGTCCCTGGAAAGTATTTAAGATTTGAATATATCTTTTAAGTATGACCCAAAGTATACATCATAAAAAATATAAAGTGTTGGAAATAAACTCTTAGGAACTAGGCTGTCTCCATTATAGTTGATATTATTATGAAGTCTTGATACCATACTGTTAACATCTGATAAAAAATTTTATATAATATTTAGAGTAAACTTTGTGACTGGTCTTACAAACTTTTATCCAGGAGTTAGTTTGTACCTCTTTTTATTATAAGATAAAAGCTGTCTTTAAAATTTTGGACTTTCCATGCCTATAGTAACACAATTATTTCATATGGCACTATTTTTGTGATTATTCTGAAAAAAAAAACAAAACAAAACAAAATAACAAAAACAGACTGTGCTGTTTGAAAAAAATGTTACAATTCTGAGATCTTCATGCCACCTTTTGACAACATTTCATTACAGAAAACTTTAGGGATTAGAGGCAAGTGGATCACCAATCCATGTGATTATCAAGAATATGTTGGATTCCTGTGAACCCTGGAATTTCACATTTCAAATTTGTTAAATTCAGGTCAACAAAATTATTTTTTTGTATTATTCTTTCCTTTTCTAGATGTCATGCAAACTCATGAAATAGGGTACCTGGGACTACAAGGAAACAGACCACACTTTGCAAAAAAATAGTCCTAGCCAAATGCTACCAACTATTGGTCATGGTGGTCTATTAGGCAGCTAAAGGTAGCAATTTTGATCCATACCACAGTTGCCTAAAATGTAATATGTGGAATCCAAGAGCCTAAACCTACATGGTTTATGGAGAGTTTGATAGTTACCCATGAGGATCTGGGAGCAAATTTCCATCACTGATTTAGAGGGAAAGGTCAGAGAAGAGCCATAAAGGGCATGATGAAAAGATAAGCTTTGACATTTTCAATCTATTCAACAGACATTCTGAGTATCTACTCTTTACCCAGGACTATATTTTGCTTCTGTGTGATATACAGAAATGGATTTGACGTCAGTGTCTTTTACAGTCATTCCAAGACTATATACATTCAAAAGTCACGTGACAAATCGTGCAACATGTCTTTGAAGAAAGTGCTATGGAAATGTGGAAGGAAAGCATATCTGAAGAGGCTCAGGAAAGGTTTTGTGGAGAAAGAGGCATTCGAGACTGACCTTAAACCATGGGATTCTGACAGGTGAAGATGGAAGTAAGAAAAAAACACTCTAGTTTTTCCAAAGAGTGGCTGTGGCTTATTGCATCCAAAAGCACTACAGTGGTTTGGTGATGCCACAACAAGGTTTTGTCTTCTCAGCTATGAAAACAGATGGACTGTATTCATAAGGAACAATTTTCTCCTTTTGGAGAATATTCTTCCAGATTGGGTCAGCCTAATATGCTGGACCCAGACATGACCAGCTCGGCTGCATCCCATATTTTTCCTATTCTTGGGATAAATTGGGACACCAGCCTCGAGGGCAGCCAGTCTGGCACCTTTAAAATCACAAGCGCAGAAAAAGAGCGAAGAACAAAAAATAAAAATAGCCCTATACATCAGCAGGACAGAAAAGGTGCCCGAATGTTCCCTTTACACATTAACAAAAAAAAATTTTACAAACTATGCCTTTTAGGGAGGCGTTTAGAATGGAAAGAAAGTTACTTAAGCATAGTGTTATCTTTGCCTCCAGAGAAATTTACACTACACATTGTTACAAGCATACCACAATCTCAATGCCCATGTTTTAGACAGTATATCAGTTGTTCTTTTGAACAAGAAAAAGCAGGGGGATGGTCCCAAACTTCGAGGCATCAGAACAGGAAGGAAACAGTTGATCGGGGGCCAGCAAGAAGCTGGAGCTCAGAGCAGGGCTGGCGTGAGGAACTTGTAGACAACACTTATGACAGTCAATCAGAAGAGCCAATGACAGTGGACTGGACAGCCTACAGGGAATTTAGTCAGTGACTTAGGACTACTAAAACCATTCACATAAAAAAAACTTGTTTATGTATTATTACTTATTTTATATATATATGGATATGGCTTTACGTTGATGGTAGGCCAGCTATTGAGTCTTCTTAGGCTTTAACACTTCTCTGCCATCTACAGCAACCTCTGCAGTGCCTCTGAAACACCTGGTTTCCACCACACGCCTACTGCCTAAATGAGGTTTTGTTATCTTTCACAGGCCATTGCAATGGCTTCCTGATTGTTCTGATATCTCTAATTTACTTTCTCTCACAAACAGAAAAGCTTTACAGAAGTTTTGGTAATTGAGCTAAGTCTGAAAGGTTAGAATGTGAACAAGTCATTTTTAGGAAATGGCATGGGTGGAGTGCGTCAGTCCAGGCAAATCAACAGGTTGAACGAGGGAGGTAGAATAGTGGAATACAGGTTTTTATATTTATTTTCTCTTTGGGGCATGCAAATTTATTTCCCTTGTAATGTAAAAATATACTTTTTATTTTAAAATGTTTTTTTTTCCATGATCACTACATGATTAATTATAATAGGCCACAGACCCTCTTTTGCAAATGCTGCTTGTTTTTGAGGTGGGACCAAAAATGTCCATAGCCATTTTGAGAGCTGATGCCATGGTGACCAGAGAAGACATATTTCTAAACTTGCACATTTCTCAACATCAAAAGTAAAGTAGCAAATTTATGCAGATATCAAGTCTTCATATCTTCCTGGCTACTTGGCTTATAACAGAAATTTTAGGCATAAGCAAAATAATGTATTTTTAAATACTATAAGGAATTAAAACTCTATATGCCTATTATATGATATATCAGTTTTCTCAATAAGCACCTTCTTTAATATATTCTGGAAAAAGTCCTGTTTCTAAAAGTTGAATCAATAACATTATATATGGGTAGCGAAATGATGGTAAAGTATTCCTAGAAACAAAGCCTGCTCTAATTTATGCTACATATGGCCACTAGAGTTATTTTCTTGAAGCAAGGCTCCATTAAGATGATTCAAAAATTATCTTCCACTGAAGGCACAAAGAGATAATAGAATAAGTTTGCATCTTGTATGTATCCTGTGTGACAGGCCCATGTGACATTCACTGAAGGTTCTAGGATGATGGCATTTTCTAATCACCAAAACTTTTACTTCATGGGACCCTGTAGTCCCATGTAGTAAACCCATGTAGTAAACTCATGTAGTAACCCATGTAGTAAGTCCCTGTAGTAAACCCATGTTTACTTCATTAACCCTATATTAATGCCTGTAATAATAGACAACCTCTTTCTTCAATTGCTTATGTTCTAGGTCAGTGATTTTCAACATTTCCTGTATATTGTAGTCATTTGGGGAACTTAAAAAACAAATACTGATCCCTGAATCCCAGCTCCAAAGATTCTGATTTCATTGGTCTGAGGTGGGATGTCACAGGAACAAAATTTTAAAAGCCCTCCAGGTGATTCTATTGTTAAAGTTGAGCCACTGTACCAGGGGGTACCTATTTCTGTACTGCCTGTCAGGATAAAAGCTCACAAGTATT